AATAGAAGCAACAAACAGCCTCAGAAAAAAGGGGAAAGGGGTCACAAAGAAGCAGGAAGACTGGTCTTTTACCAGACTGATGCTGAAGCGTGTGCATTTCAGCTCATCCAGAGTCTGCTTCTGTAGCTGCTCAGTGATCAGAGTTATCATGATTCTCCCCAGGATCTGACTTGCACACTTTGGAGCAAATGGTGGATGTCTTCCCTGTTGTTCTTCCAGACCTCACTCGTGAGCCGTCTTCTGCCACTGCAGCACCATTCTAGCACCACTGAGACTTCCCTCTCCAGTCATGCCTGCTGAGTCTGCCAATTACAGAGGGACCAGTCCCAAGTGACATTAGAGATATACCTAGTCCAGAGATGGAAAATGTATGGCACATATACCACAACACTCCTATGCCAGGCCTCTGGCAGACATCATTAATCGATTACAGCTCTTTCCTGCTAAACCTAAACACAGCCTCAAAAACATTCTGATCTTGGCACTTCAGATATCCAGTATACTAAACTGGACTTGGCAAGCAAAAACTGAAACCTATTTACTCCTAACTTGGCTCATGCTCTGCTTTCTACCTGGAATACCAGCACCACTTAGACAACAGCTCAAGTGAGAGACAGTGATGCCCAAATGGTTATTTCCATCCTAACTGGCCTGATTCTTTATCTTCTAGGTAGAAGCCAAGAGGTATTCTCCCAAACTACAGAAATAGGGAGGAGCAATGATTATAGGCATGACTTTGTGCATCACAAAGACCAGACCAGCCAGGTATAGTAGCACACACCTGTAATCCCACATTCAGTAGGCTGAGGCACAAGGACCACCCTGAGTTCATGGCTACCTGAACTATAAATTGAGACCCTGTCTCAGAACAAACAAACCGACCAGAGTAAATAGGATTTTATATCTTCCTATAGCCTGAACAGCTGATAGAGAATTACTCTTCAATAAATACTATGAATATTCTTCTATAAAATGAAAAGCTGCAAAAAAAAAAAAAAAAAAAAAAGGCCCAGGGATTTACCTTAGCAGCTTAAGAGCCTGCCTCACAAACTGGAGGTTGGAGGTCAAGAGTTCAACCCCAGGCACAAAAAAAAAAAAAAAAAAGAGAGAGAGAGAGAGAGAGAGAGAGAGAGAGAGAGAAGCTGCACTTGCTGACATACACTTGTAATCCAAGCAATCTGGAGGCGAAGGCTGGAGAATCACTAGTTCAAGACCAGCCTGGGCAATTTAGTAAAAAACTCTCAAAATTAAAAATTAAAAAAAGAGGAGCTGAGGTGCTCAGTGGCAGAACATTTGTCTAACGTGTAGGGTCTAGGGTTTGACCCTCAGTACTGCAAGAAAAAAATACATAGATATCTAACAAATCTGTCACTTGTTTGAGCGGGATGTGGAGGCATACACATGTAATCCCAGCACTCAGGAGACTGAAGCAGGAGGATCACCTTGAGTTTGAGGCCAGCCCAGGCTATACAGTGAATTAAAAGGCAGCCTGAATTACATAAATGAGGCCCTATCTCAAAAAATAAAAGAGCAGGGGATTTAGCTTAGCGGCATAAGCACCTGCCTTGCAAGCCTGCGGTCATGCGTTCGATCCCCAGTATCGATAAAGAAAAAAAAAAAAAAAGATGTTCAAAAAGTAAAATAAAAATGAGGACTGGGGAGGTCATTGTGAAGGCCCTGGATTGAATTCCTAGTACCGAGGGGGGGGGGGACGACAAGAAAGAAATGGTCAGGATAATTCTGATTGCATTTCAACAACTACAGATACTAAAAACTCCATGACTTCATTCAACTAAAGTATTAGCCTGATTTGACAAAAAGAACATGGATATAACATCAAGATTCTTGCTCCCCAGCATTCAGAAGTTTGAGGCAGGAGAATCGATAGCAAGTTTGAGGCTAGCCTGGGCTACACTGCGAATTCAAGGCCCTGTCTCAAAAAAATCTTTCTGTTAGTCACTTTCTGATAGCAGCAAACTAACTCTTATCAGAGAACAGACTTCAAAGTTGCCGTAGGGGCCTTGCAGGCAGACAGAGGGAAAGTTAACATAATGTTTTAACTTTGTTCTACTTATTTCCAGAAATTACTAGCAGGCAGATAGCACACCAGAGAGTTTATGTAGCATCGGCTAGTAGAATGATCAATCAAGAAACTGAAGTCTTAATTGAATTTATTGAGACAGTTTTAGTTAATAACAATCCTTCATTTACCTATATGTAAAATGGGCACAGCAATCTTACTCTGTCACAGGAATGAATATGAAATCTCAGTATATAAAAGCACACCATCTGGCCTGTAAACATCAAGAGTACACAGAGATTGCTGTTTCTCATCCCTCTTGTTTGTTGCTCTTCAAAGCCTCAGCATCCCAGAAGCAATGATATCATTAAAATGAAGAAGACAACAGGCTCTGTCCTTCTGGCTGGATGCCACCCTCCCTCACCTGCTCACCAAGGAAAGGGAGCCTGGGGTGGCTCTTCCTTCTGTGACCTTTAGGGACAGATCATCCTCTACAATATAAAGATAATTCTCTCTACCCTATTCCTACCTCAGAGGAAGGCCACCCAGTAGCACAAAGAAACACACTTGGGTGTACTTGGAGTCCTTTAGAATAAAGGTGCAGAAGTCAATCATCATTCTAGTTAACCATCGTTTTCATGCATAATTATTACCACCCTGAACAAAGTTCCAGCTTCCTGAGAGCTGCCATGAGCTGCTTCCCCTATGTTTCTGTAGGAGCAGCTAAAGTTTTTTATCACTTCTGCTCCTGGCTCCTTAACTCTGTCCTCAAAGATGAACCAGAGAGGGAACCTAACTGCACACTTTTACCCTAGAGACCCCAGGCCTCAGGCTGACCAGCCATGAGATGCAAGGAGTGAAACAAAGTTTTTCAAGCTTTCCATGAGGCATTTGGACAAACAGCCAACTCTCAGCCCTCTCTAGGATCAACTGAAGAGAGTGATTTTGTGTTTTGCTGCATTTTAATTGTTGGGATGTGACCACACACAGCGGTAATTGGAACAATGCAACTACCACTACCCAACTGATACTCTCAGCCTGAGTTTCCTAAAACAGGCCAGACAGAGAGGGGGAACAGAATGGAAGCCATAAGGAATCAAACCAGGACACAAAAGAAGGCAAACCAGCTCTGCGAGGGGCCTCCTCTTTCTCAACCAAGCACTGAAAAAAGTGTAAGAAGCCCTCTCTTGCCGCCTTCCTTCCCCTTCCATTTTGTGTATCTGAGGGGTTGAGACAGCCCAGAACCTTCACTAAAACAAGTTAAAACTTCTGAGCCTAACAATTAGCAAGGGGTTCAGCCCTTCAGAGAGCAGCAGGCCGCTAGGCCCTCCCAGCAATACCACCAGGCCTAACTCTCGGTCCAGGCTCTCTCTTCAGCATAAACCCCCGAAAATGAAGATTGGACCCCTTCTTCCTCTCCATTGGATGACAGTAACCTCTGACACTCGCGTTTCAGAGGGATGCTGAGGTTGTGCTGAAACCCGGACAACCTAGGATCAAGTCAGGCCAAGGTAGAGAACCACAAATCCCCTAGGGACCTTCCCCCCAGGTCCCAGCCCCAGACCTCTGGAGGAGACTAAAGGAAAACATGAAACAGGCAGGGAGGTGCAGGAGCAAGTAAGTGAGGACCTGGAAGCTCTTCCTCATATATGTCCTGGTGGGGATAGGAGTGACAAGTGGCGAGCACCCCTCCCCCCTCCGATGAAGAAGCAAACGGCTAAACCCCCTCCAATCTTCAATCTCTCTGTTACCCTGCCTATCCCCGCGGGGTGGGGCATAGGGCTTACGCTGCCCCCCCCCCCCGAGTGGGAACCAGGGCTCGCTCAGGGAGGGACTGTCGCTTGCCCTTTCCCATTTCATTTCCATTACAGGGCCGCGGGAAGCGAACTCAGGACGCAGGGGATGGGTAGGGTCTGGGACTTAGCACTCCGCCACCCCCTCCCCCACCGGGTCCCGTGTTCTCCCCTTGGAGGCGGCTTTCGAGGCCTGGCCGCGCGGGCGGCTGACCTGGGGGAGGGGAAACAGAAGGGAGGGACAGTCGAGATGCCCGCCCCGAGGCCCCAGCGCCACCTGCCCTCCGCCACCTACCGCGGCTCCTTCAGCTCCCAGGGCCGCGGCCGGAGCAGCTCTGAGCGCTCAGTTCGCCCCACGGTGCCCTTAAAAGGCACCGGCACAAACCAACTGGCCACTGAGGAGAGTAGGGGAATCGCTGCGGTTCGCAGAATCCCCGTAAACTGCCCGCTGAGGCCCAAGCCCTGTATTGTTTCTCTCTTAAAGTCTTCCTAGTCTCTCTTGGTTGTGAACGCGCGAGGCGCTTTGGTTTAGGGACTGAGTGGTTCCGCCCCTAACGAGTTACCCCTCCAAATTACAGCAGAAAGTGGACAGATCCAGTTAGAGGCATATCTTGGAACTCGTGGGGGAGGCCATATCGGACGAAGGTAAACAAAGCCATTGTCCCCGCCCTTCATCCCTACATCGACCCAGCTGCAACCTCTTACTCCGTCGAGGGTGCTTCATAGAATCAGACGCTGTGCCTCTCACCTGCTCTCCTGTTCGGAACGTCACAGCCACCTTTCTGAAAGAACCCCCCCTCCGCCTCCAACAAAGGACCGGTCCGCGGCGTGAAGACTCCTGGGAAATGTAGTCCAAACGCCGATTAGGGCCTGCTCTGAGTCCCTGGACGGACCCTCTTTTTCCGTTGCCGGATCTGCTCGAACCTTATAAACCCAGCATTTATAACGGTTACTGGGGCGTGCCCACGTGGTTCTGTAATTTGCCCTGCCCAGAACACTGTAAAGCTGAGGAGGGCCGAGGGTTCTACAGTCCCTCGCCTCCCTTCACACCTCCCCCCAGCAGGATGAGGTAATGGGATTGTGATTATGACATCATAGATGGTTCATTTGCTTGCGCGGCTTGGGGGATACGGTGGTTACAACTGGACCACTTTCCTTAAGACAGAAAGGAAGGAAGGAAAAAGGCAGATGCACAAACGACGTTGACGGCACTATGTTTCCTCTTCAGGAAGAGGAAACCACCTTTTTATTAAGCTTTCACCACCTCTACCGCCACCCACCTCAGCCAGAGTTGTGTCCTTTTTAAAGAGATGGAATGTAGATGTAAGTAGGTGAAGAAATTAGTTTTTGGCTCTTGTGTAAACACAAGTCTCCCCATCAGACAAACAAACAAACAAAAAAAAGAATGAAAGAAAGAAAGAAAAAGAGATTTTTAAACAATGCCTTCTTCATCTTGTGAGTTTTAAATTTCTTTCTTATTGTTCAAAAAGTACCCTAACACAAGTGACTTCACTATCACATTTAGCAAGTCCCCTGAAAGACATGTTTTCTCTAACTGTTTCCTGTCCTATCCAAGTCTGGGACAGGTGAATCGTTGTCTTCCTCACTTAGCTTACGAGGGCAGGAAATTGGAGCCACCAAGTCTGCAAACTGAAAAAGAAAGAAGATATTAATCAAGAAAATGGATCAGGTGTGGTGGTGTATGTCTGCAATCCCAGCATTCTGGTGGCTCAGGCAAGAGGATCATGGAGAGTTCCAGGCCTGTCTCAAAAATAAAAAAGAAAATGGGAATGAAGATTTATTTTTCACTGCAGTTTCCCCTTAGCAAAGAGAAAAAGTACAGCCAGGAGCCATGATATGTAGGTGACATGATTTCCTGTTCAGTGATGGCAAACCTTTTAGAGCTCTCAATGATTCAAATGGCCCACTGCAGCACACGTACCATAGGTTCACCACCCCAATTAAAGTTTAATTGTATGTATTATGTGTCAAGGATTGTGCTACATATTTTGAATATATATTCTTTTTAAATATATATATACTTATTTTTGCCTACACTCAAATGAAAACTATCTCCTAATTTGAAACTGAAACTGCCTAAGAGGCTAAATGACTGCCTATTTGATAGGCAAAGTTTATCAAAAAGTTTGAGACTGTAAGGTTCTTGCTTTTCACACTAGGCTGCTTCCCTTTTATTACTAATTATACTTTCTAAAGTTAAGTGGTTGAAGTTAAGTTAGCATTGGCTCAGCGAAACAACAAAAGAAGCAGACACTTTAAAACCTGCAAAACAGTTTTTTTAAATCACTACAAGTCAGGTTTCAGGACTCATTTCAAAGGAAGGTTCCTTTCATCAAGACTAAAATAGTTGGGGGCTGGGGATTTAGCTCAGCGGCATAAGCGCCTGCCTTGCAAGCAGGCAGTCATGAGTTTGATCCCCGGTACCGGTAAAAAGGAAAAAGATAAAAAAAAGACTAAAGTAGTTTTTCGATGAATATATAAAAAGGGGGTGGTATATGTATACACAACAGGGTACTATTTAGCCATAAAGAAGGATAAATTTGACTCATTTGTGGGAAAATGGATAGATCTTGAGACCATAATTCTAAGTGAAATCAATCAGGCACAGGTGGCTAAATATTACATGGTTTTTTTCATGTATGAGAAACCCAAAACATAAATAATTTAATGAGAAAAATAAAAGATGATAGGAGACAGAGGTGGAACTTCTGGAGATAGGAAAGTGGCTTCTGGGGAAGGGGTGGAAGAGAGTAAAAATGATAAAGTTTGATGTGTGTATGTTTGTACCAATTTCCCAATTAATTGGGAATTAATATGTATTGCAAACCTATAACAAAAAAATAACCTCTACCCACAGCCATGGTGCATGTCTATAATCCCTGCTCTTTGGTAGGCTGAGGGAGATCACAAGTTAGAGGCCAGCCTGAGCAATTCAGTGAGATCTTAAGAAATAAAAAGGCTGAAGGCCAGGATTTAGCTCAGTGGTGTGTAAGCGCCTGCCTGGCAAGTATAAGATCATAAGTTTGATCCCTGGTACCACCAAAAATAAAGTAAATTAAATAAAATTTTAAAAATAGAAAAAGGCTGGCCAGGGATATAGCTCAGTGGCACAAGTGCCTGCCTGGCAAGGGCAAGGCCATGAGTTTGATTCCTAGCACCCAAAACAAACAAACAAAGAAATAAAAAGACTGCTTGGCAAGCATGAAGTCCTGAGTTCGATTCCAGTACCAAAGATAAAAAAAATAAAAAGGCCTAGGGGTGCAGCTCAGTGCTTAGAGTGCTTGCTAGCCTGTGTGAGGCCTTAGATGCAACCTCTAGTACCACCAAAATAAAGCCACAAAATGCACCCCAACACTCCTACTCACAACTAAATATCCTTTTGCCACCTTGAACTCACAATTTTTTTTTTATTGGTACCAGGAATTGAACTCACGACCGTGCACTTGCAAAGCAGGCACTTATGCCACTGAGCTAAATCTCCAGCCCCCTAGCTCACAATTTTTAAAACTCATGTCTTGCCACCTGCCTTGCAAGCCTGTGGTCGTGAGTTCGATCCCTGGTACCAGTAAAAATACAAAATACAAAAAAAACAAAACAAAAACTCATGTCTTGCTACCTTTTCCTGCAGCTCCTTCTTTATCCTTTTATTCTTGGGCCACTTCTTTGAATGCCTCCTCAATTGTGCCCTAGTGACTCCGAACCCATCTATGACCCTGCTCCAATGGCTTTCAGCAGAAAATATCACCTTGACCCCCTTATGGCCTCCATCCAGATTCTCTGAGGTTTCCAGGGCTTGGAGCCAGTCATGCAGGATGTCATCCAAAGAGGTAGAATCCATGGGTTCTAAGGGATTTTCCTTTCCTTGCCTAAGGAGGCAGCAGAGTCAGAGAGTACATGCATATTCAGTAAAAGCCAGTAAAAGCCAAATCTCTGCCAAGTGGGGAGGGGTTGGACTCAGTCACCACTCATAAAAGGAACCAGGAATGCTGAACACACCCTTTAGTCCCCTTGCCCTGAAGAGGCTTGCTGGGGGGGTCCCAGGTATGTAGGGCTCTTCTCCATCGCCGGATCTGAGCATCCCAGGAACGACGGCTGTACCTCCTGTTCTTATTCGGTGTTTGAGGGTGAAGCCCTGGCTGTCGCTGTGCTCTGGCAACAAATATAGATCACACTGGGTTCAAAGCAAAGGGACATACATGATTTATTGCTTATCACAGTGAATCAGGCACTTAAAATAGGGATTCCCCTAGAAAGATGTGAGATCATTTCAGAAAAAGTGAATCTTCAAATCAGATTATACTCCAAACTTCCCACTTTCCTAATAGTCTTTCTCCTGGTACATTACAATACCTTCAGTAGATAATACTTGACAAACCTTTACTCTTCCATACATTTATTTTGAATGTATGTGAACTTTCATATAATTAACCTAGTGCATTGCAGTTAGCTAAGACAGATGGAAAAATGAGGCCATGGGAAATAAGTTTGGGAAGAAAACAATCTTCTCAGGAACCAAGATATAATTTTGAGCACTTTTTTTTTTTTGTCTTTTTGAAACAGGGTCTCACTGTGCAGTTCAGGCTGGCCTTGAGCTTACTTTGTAGCCCAGGCTGGTCTTGAACTCACAGTGATGCTCCCGCCTCAGCCTCCCGAGTGCTGGGATTACAGGTGTGAGCCACCACGCCCGGCAATTTTGAGCACTTTTATGGGTCAAGTATAACTTTTTTTTTTTTTATCAGTACCAGGGATCACAACTGCCTGCTTGCAAGGCAGGCGCTATGCCGCTGAGCTAAATCCCCAGCCCAAGTATAACTTTTCTACTTGAGAAAACTCTCCAAAACTTATTTTGGGGACTAGATTGTGAGAGAATTAGTAATGCCACAGCTCTATTAGAGCACTCAGATTCTAGTATCTTTCCGTCACCCGACACTGACCAGAGCCACTTGGCTGACACACTTGTGATCACCCAAAAATGCACTCACTTGGGGACCTGCTGCCGAAAGCACTGGTAACCAGGTGTACATTTGCCATAATCTATCTGCTTTTGCCGCCGCTGCAGGACAACTTCATCTGTCTCTACTTCCCACCTGCAGGGAAGTGTCCCCGTGAAGAGTGATTATAGTCATCAAACAGCAATCCACCCTGTAACATTCCTTTCATCTTCAGCCCGACTTTCAAACTTACCTGCCATGACAAGGTTCTGTGCCGACTCCCACATTTACCGTCTCTGTCCCAGTGGACAAAGACTCTTCACACAACTCTTTTCTGGGGAAGCAATTTCTACAGATTAAAAGGATATTAAGGATAAACACCAGCTGACTATGCTGCACCTCTCAACCACTCTCACGAGCATGACCCTGACTTCAGAGAAATGTTCAATTTCTGACTTGGCTGTCAAAGTATGGTCTGCAATCCATTGGTATGGGTAGCACCTGGTGGCCTTGATAATTCTGGGCTTCGGTTTAGACCTGTTGAATCAATTTTAGGAGCTTGCATTTTAAAGGGCTTCCAAATATATTTTAAACTTTTTTTTTAATATTAGTATGAAGGATTGAACCCAGCCACCCTACCCTCTTTGAGACAGGGTTTCATTAGATCACTCAGTTGCCCAGGCTGGGCTTGAATTTGTGATCTTTCTGCCAGGGATTACAGGAATGTGCCACCACACTTAGCTACAAATTTTTTAATTATGAAAAATTCATTTATCTACTGAAGTAAAGACCAGTTCATGCACCCAGCTACTTAGAAGGCTGAGGCAGGGGCCTCAAGTTAGAGACAACATAGTGAGACTTTTTTGCTTTGTTGTTTTGAGACAGGGTCTTGCAGTGTAACTCAGACTAGCCTTGAATTCACTGTGTACCCAGGCTGGCCTCAAACTTGCAATGATCCTCCTACCTCACCCTCCCAAGTGCTGGGATTACAGGTGTGCACCACCATGCCCAGCTTTGTGAGATACTATCTTTAAAAAAAGAAGACGAGGGGGAGAGAGGCATGACATCAGCTGGGAACTTTTCTGAAATGCAGAACTTTGGCCAAAACAGCTGTTGAGTCAGGACCTATATTTTAACAGGACCTCCAAGCAGTTATACCACGCACATCAATTTTTTTGTGATGTTGGCCATTGAACTCAGCACCTCTTGCAGGCCAGGTAAGCACTCTACCAGTGAAATAGACACCAACCTGCACATGACATCCTGCCACCCACCCATCACTCAATATTCATGTCCAGTTTTGTCTCATCTATACTCACTATGACCCTCACATAATTAATTTATCTGTTCTTCCAGTATTTGGGATTGAACCCAGGGTCTTCACACTCTGCAGTGTGTTTTTATTTCCTATTTTGAGATAGAGTATTGCTAAATCATTAAGTTGCACAAGCTGGGCTCAACTTTGTTCTTCTGCCTAAGCCTCCCAGACTGCTGGGATCACAGGTGTGCCCAACAATGCCTGTCTCTCACAAAGTTATTTAAAAGCAAATATTTGACATTAAGAATTTCTAGGGTCAGGGTTATAGCTCAGTGGCACCGTGCCTGCCTGGCAAGCACAAGGTCGTGAATTCAAGACCCAGTACCAAAAATAAAAAACAATTTCTACAGCTAGCCAGATATAGTGGCACATGTCTGTAGTTGTAGCACTCAGGAGGCTGAGGCAAGAAGATCATCAAGAGTTTGGCATTTGAGGCTAGCCTGGATGGCATGAGACCCTATCTCAAAACAAAACAAAACAAAAAGGTCTAGGGCTGAGACTGTAACTTAGTGATAGAGCACTTGCCTTACCTGCCTTTGGTGTTGGGTTTCAACTACAAAACATGCAAAATAATTTCCATAAACAGCTAAAGTTTTAGATCTCTAGACCTTGGTAAGAATTATATTAATTACAGGCGTGGTGCACGCCTGTAAAATCAGCTATTCGGGAGGCTGAGGCAGGAGAATCACAAGATTAAGGCCAGCCTGGCTAATGTAGCGAAACTCTTGTCTCAAAATAAAGAAAGGACTTTAGCTCCGTAGTAGAGCGCCCCTGGGTTTCAACCCTGAGATTCTCAAAAAATAAATATTCAGAGATGTGGTGGAACTCCTTTGCTGTTCCTGAAAAAGTATTTATTTTTACCCCTATAATAGAGTCTCTGAGATGGTGCACTCTAAACGGAAACTCGGCGTAAACCCACACACCTGTCACACACCGACGCCTGACCCACAGGCGGCAAATCCTCCATCCCGGTTTGAAGGCTAGCAAAGTTAAATAGAAACAGCACGAGGATGACGCGAGGAAAAAGAACACTGTCACGCAAATGAATCTCTCCTATTATTATCCTAGCAAGGGTCATCGCCCGCGAGGCGCAATTTAAATCTCCCGGGGTTGGTGGGGCTGAGGGAATTGACCCGAAGGGAAGGGTGTGGCGATTGGCTAGAGGGAGAGCCAATGGGGAGTTAGGCTCTTTGGTAGGGGCTTAACTCCGGTAGGCCAATCGCCATCCTGCTTTGGCTCTGGGGCGGAACAAGTGGTGCCCCTTTCAGTGCAAGTGCTTTCTCCTGGATGAAGTACAAGCCTACCGATTGGTCGTGGGTCTTCGGGGCTTGCTCCGCGATTAGCTAACGTAGCTCACAGGCGGGCGGGGATAGGTTGTTGGGAGAGCGGAAGGTTTGAATGGTCAAGCATAAAATAGTTGGCCTTGCACTTCGGTTCAACTACCCAGAGAAATGACATGCGTGGCCTCGGCCTACCCTGTCAAGGGAGAAGCAGAAACTGTAGCCTTGGTAACTGCTTCTTTTCCTCAGATTTCATTTTATTTGCTTGCGTCCAGTTTCCTTTCTCCCGAAGACTAATCCAACTCTAATTTTTTTTTTGGGGGGGGGGGTGGTACCGAGGATCGAAATCCAACTCTAAATTTATGAAGTAAGTCCGCAGCAGTCTCTGCCACGGAATCACGGAAGCCACGTTTTCGCCGTAGTGACCGGACGTTTGATGGGGATTACTGCAGAGTTACAAGACTTGAGTGTCTTCCAATCACGGATGTCAAGGTCTGTGGCTCCGAACGAATGAAAACCTCTCTTCTGTCCATCTTTAAGATTCCTGAAGTTGCCCTTGGATGAGTTCAGATGTCAACGGAAAGGCCAAGCCTCTCGTGGAAGCGCAAATTAACCGTCCACCAGGTTGTGATTCATTACGTGGGGCAGCCCAACACGGACACCGATCTGCTTGACTAGGAAAGGTGGAGGCGATTGGAGAAGCCAGATGGTCTATGCTGTTCTTCTCAGGTTTCGTTTTTCTTGGTGAGAACTCGCGGACCATGTGTACCGCAAGGGAGGAAGGAAACTCTGGCTCAGGACCCAGTTTTAGGTCCAGTGGGAACAAAATTCTTCCTTACCATCTGCCGAGATTTCCCTAGATCTGCAATGCTGAACAGATTCCTTTTGCAAATCTAAGCATTTTGTCTGAGTAAATCCATTCTTATTTTTACATTTTACCTCCTTTTTTTGGAGGGGGTACTGGGGTTCGAACTTACAACTTTGCACTTGTTGAGTAAGTGCTTGCACTGCTGGACTAAATCCCCAGCCTTCCTTTGCTTTTCTAAATGTGTTTGTTTAAATTATCCAGGATCAGGCTATAAGTCTCAGCTCTAGCCTGTATTATGTCACTTGGGGGGGGGTACTAGGGATCGAACTCATGACCCTGCGCTTGCCAGGCAGCCACTTAAGCCACTGAGCTAAATCCCCAGCCCTGTCACCCTTTTGAATACAGTCTAGAATTTCTCTTTTGTGAAATAGAAATAATCTTTTTTTCTCTACCTTGGATCTTTTTGGAGACAGAGTGTTGCTATGTAGTTCAGTCTGCACTTGAACTCACTATGTAGCTCTGGCTGGTATCGAACTCTTTCAGCCTCAGCCTCGCAAATTCTGGGATTACAGGCAAGTGCCACCACTCCCAGCTATCTGGCTTTCATTCTTGATTAAACACTGTTGTGTGTGTACGTTGCAACCACTATAGTAAATGGTAGGGCTGCAGAGATTAAGAAGTCAAGATTGCTGGACATGGTGGTGCACAACTGTAATTCCAGCAGTTGGAAGGCTGAGCCAGGAGGATAGCAGCCTGAAGTGCATAGAGAGACCCTGTCTTTAAAAAGACAAAAACATCATTCTAAACTATATAATACACAGCATACAGTACAGGGTAGTGATGGCGCAAACCTGTCAGAGCTTTCAGTGATACAAAGAGCCTCTGCAGCACAAATGCCATAGATTCATTACCACTGGTGTAGGAAAACAGATTTTAAATAGACTGGTTTTGTTTTGTCTAGATGAAAGACTGGTATAGATTTGTTAGGTATTTATTTTGTTGGTCTTTAGAAATTATTAAACCTGAGTTTGGTGATGCAATCCCAGTACTCAGAAAACTGAAGCAGAAAGATTGTGAGTTCAAGGCCAGTTTGAGCTACATATTGAGACCCTGTCTAAAAAAACAAAAACAGGGCCTGAAGATTTAGCTCAGTGACATAAGCACCTGCCTTGCAAGCAGGCGGTTGTGAATTTGATCCCTGGTACCGATAAAAAGTTTTAAAAAAAAAAGAAAACCTTTATGGGCTCAAGTTTGTGTTTGTTTCTTTTTTTTTTTTTTTTTTTTTTTTTTTTTTGAGACAGGATCTCACTGTGTAGTTCAGGCTGGCCTTGAGCTCACTTTGTAGCCCAGGTTGGTCTGGAACTCACAACAGTCCTCCTACTTCAGCCTCCCAAGTGCTGTGATTACAGGCATGCACCACCACGCCTGGCACTAGAAATATTTTTTTATTGCTTCATCTCTTTTTTTTCCATGATATGCACTTATAAAACGGTGAATTCCTTGGAGATTGATGATTTCTTATTCACTCAATTTAAAAATACAGTACTTATTAGATAGGTCAGTGTAATCTCAGCACTCTGGGAGACTGAGACAGGAGGATTATGAGTTTGAAGCCAGCATGGGTAACTCAGTGAGTTAATGAGACACTGTCTCAAAAAAATTTTTTTTCATTAAGTATCAGGCACAAAAGCTGGGCATGGTGGCCCATATTTGTAATTCTAGGTATTCAGGAGGCTGAGACAAGAGAATTGCAAGTTCAATCCAGCCTTGCAGTAGAGCAAGACCTGGTATGTAAAAGAGGGAGGCCAGTTACTCTGCCAGGAACTGGTGCTACAGCAAAAGAAGAACACAAACTAGAGTTTACATTCTTGTTACGAAGATGCTAAAAAAAAATTTTTTTTTTTTTTTTTGTCTTTTTGAGACAAGGTCTCTCTATGCAGTTCAGGCTAACCTTGAGCTTATTTTGTAGTCCAGGCTGGTCTCCAACTCACAAAGATCCTCCTGCCTCAGCTTCTGGAGTGCTGAGATTACAGGCATGCACCATCATACCTGGCTAAAAAAAATTTTTTTAATCAAGTTAGCAGATGCTCTAAAAGTCTTGATTGCAATGATGTAGATTAAGTTAATTCTAGTTACCTGAGTAGAAGAGATTTTCTGGAGCATATTGAGGAACTCAGAGCATCAGTAGTGAAAATGTAAAACAAGGAAAGACTCAGCCATAATATTCTCACTGGAATACTTAACTCAGGATGCTGCTGTTTGCAGGTGGGCACTCTGCTGCCATCACTGCCCCGCCCCTACCGTTGGCCATGGCTCAAGCTGCTGCTAGACTGTGATTCTAGGGATACTTGATGCTACCGATTATATTCTCACTGTGCTGCAACAGCCTTGAAGAAGCTCCACCTACTCTATGTTTTTATTTTATTCCTCGAGGTTCAAAATTCTGGGCAGAAGTATCTCGTTGACTGTAAGAAAGTGAAATAGGGATATTTGCCCCCTTTTGGGGAGGTAAGACTGCCTCCTTACTAAAATAGGATGCTGAGTAGCCAAGTTGCAAATGTCTGGTGTAACAGAGAAAATAATTAGCAATTAAAAGTTGCCCAGGGCCAACTCAGCGGCACAAAGACCTGCCTGGCAAGTGTGAGGTCATGAGTTTGATTCCCAGTACCAAAAATAAAAAAATAAATAAAAAGTTGCCCAAGTCTTCACAGCAGGAGATATTTTTAATTAAGAATGGAGTGATGGAGCAGACCTGTAATCCTAGCATTTGGGAGGCTGAAGCAGTAGGGCTGCCATGAGTTCAAGACCAGCCTGGGCTACACACTGAGACCCCTCCCATCTCAAAAAGAAAAAAAAAAAATGAGGTAATGAATTGCCTGTGTTGCCTGGAACTGAGGAGGTTCTTAGAATATAGGACTTCCAAGCTGAACATGGTAGTAGAGAAGGCTAAAATAGGATCATTACAAATTTGAGCTCTTCTGAACAATTTAGCAAGACCCTGTCTCAAAAAAATAAAAAAAAAATTTAAAAGGCCTTCGAGATGTAGCTCAGTATAAAGGCCCTAGGCTCAATCTCCAGTACCAAAAATTTTAAAAATGGGGGGAAAAAGGGGATCTTCAGTTCTAAATCTGGAAAAATCCCAAACCAGCTGGGATAAAATTGTCACCTTAGTTGTAAAGGAACCATACATGATGAGAATAGAGTCAAGAGCATTCCATGAAAAGGGAATTGCAGGGGGCTGGGGATTTAGCTCAGCGGCATAAGCGCCTGCCTTGCAAGCAGGCAGTCATGAGTTCGATCCCTGATACCGATAAAAACGAAAAAAAAAAAAAAAAAAAAAAAAGAAAGAGAAAAAAGAAAAGGGAATTGCAGGTGCAGAGGTCTTGAGGTTGGAAAGACCTTGGTGTGTTTGGGGAACTGAGAAGCCAGTGTGAGTGAGGATAGAATTGTGTTAGATGGGAAAGAAGAGGTAACTGGGAAGAAGGTTGTACAGGGCTGCTGGGCTTTGGTGAGTGGATTTTATTCTAAATGCAGATAGACTCTATTAGGGTTTTAAGAGGGGCCATAATATCTGATTTGTTTTATGCAGACCGCTCTTGTAAAAGTCTATTTTTTGGTTTTTATTTACTAAAGACCACTCTTGTTGCTAAGTGAGTAGTGGGTTAAAGAGGATTAAGCATTGGAAGCAAGTGGTATTGAATTTTCTGAGTTTGCCTAGGGTTTAGGAAGGTAAGAATGGATTCCGGCTCTTTAGAAGGCCAAAGCAGGAAAATCACTTGAGCCCATGAGTTCAAGACCAGCCTAAGCAAATTAGTGAGGCTCCCTCACAAAAAGGAAAAAAAAAGTTGGTGGTAGCTTAGACTAAGATGATAGCTGTAGGGGCATAAAAATGAATGAATTCAAGAGCTGCCATCAGGTCTCTAACACAGGTAGCCAGCATAGGTAGGGAGAAGCAGCCA